GTGACGGCCCCTCGCCTGAGACCCCTTGAAGGGGGATAGAGTGATGTTTAAATGATATTTTGGGGTGAAGTTGCAGTCGCAGTTGCTGTTACTCCTGCCTTGGGCTGGGGGTCAGACTAGATGACCTCCAAGGTCCTTTCCAAGCTTTCCGATTCTAGGAAGCTCAAATCGAAGTACTATAACGATTAATAATAATAATAATAATAATAATCGCAACTCTGTTTTGTTCCCTGACTGGGAACCTTTGGGGGCTTTTGGAGGCATTTGCAGACATCGGAAGGCGTCTGGGGACCCCTTTTCACGCCCCAATATTTTTTAAAAAATTGAAAAATACATAAAATGCATCAACAAAATAAAAGGCACCAGCAAGAACATTGGGGGGGGGTTGTTGAAGATTGGAGGAGAAGAACCAGACTCCAGGTTTGTGGCTGCCTTAGACCAGCGGTTCTCAACCTGTGGGTCGGGACCCCATTTGGGGTCGAACGACCATTTCACGGGAGTCGCCAAACAACGCAGTCCGCCATTTTTCCCCCCTTTTCCTTAGTGTGCTACTCCCTTTTACCTATCTGGCTTTGAAAGCCAATAGGAATTGTCCAGGCTGTCTCTGCCCTGGAGCCCGCCCAAAAAGCCCCTTCTGCAAACGGCTGCTGCAACCAGTTGAGTAGTCCTCGACTTACGACCGGTTGAGTAGTCCTCAACTTACGACCGGTTGGGGGTCGCATTAAAAAGGTTGAGAACCACTGCCTTAGACCCTCTTTGGAGGAGTGGGGTGTGAGCAGAAACTGCTCCCCCGATAGATGAAGGGAACAGTGACCCCCAAATTTTGTCCCTTCGCTGCAAGCAGGCAGAAAGGAAACATGGCTGAGTTGCACCCCCACGGAAAATGGGCTTGGGGCAAGACCCCTCCCCTTTGCACACTCATGGGGGAGGGGCTTGGGGCACACAAGACCCCTCCCTATTTGCATACTCAAGGGGAGGGGCTTGAGGGGCACAGAAGATGCCTCTCCTTTTGCACACTCATGTGGGAGGGGCTTGGGGCACAGAAGACCCCCACTTTGCACACTCATGGGGAGGGGCTTGGGGCACAGAAGACCCCCATTTTGCACACACGGGGAGGGGCTTGGGGTGCAGAAGACCTTTCCCCTTTTGAACACTCAAGGGGAGGGGCTTGGGGCACAGAAGATGGCTCCCCTTTGGCACGCTCATGTGCAAGAGTGGGAGTGGCTTGGGGCACAGAAGTCCCCTACTTTGCACACTCATGGGGGAAGGGCTTGGAGCAGCCAAGACCCCTCCCCTTTTGCACAATCATGGGGGATGGACTGAGGGCACAGAAGACCCCCTCCACTTTTGCACACACATGGAGAGGGGCTTGGGGCACAGAAGATGGGTCCCCTTTTGCACACTCATGGGGGAGGGGCTTGGGGCACAGAAGACGCCTCCCCTTCTGCACATACATGGGGAGGGGCTTGGGGCGCAGAAGACCCCCCCACTCCTCTTTTGTACACTTATGGAGGATAGGCTGGGGGCACAGGAGACCCCTCCCCTTTTGCACACACATGGGGACAGGCTTGGGGCGCAGAAGATGCCTCCTTTTGCACACTCATGTGAGAGGGGCTTGGGACACAGAAGACCCCCACTTTGCACACTCATGGGGAAGGGCTTGGGGCACAGAAGACCCCTCCCCTTTTGCACAATCATGGAGGATGGGCTGGGGGCACAGAAGACACCTCCCCTTTTGCACACTCAAGGGGAGGGGCTTGGGGCACAGAACCCCCAATCCTTTTTCAGCTCCATCCATGCAGCTCTTTCAGGGCCCCTCCAGGAAGCTGCTGCTGCCCTCTGTAGGCCACTGTTGGTACTGCATGCAAGTAGTCCTCGACTTACCAGAATTGAGGCCATCCTTTCCGTTGCTAAGCGAGACAGTTATTAAGTGAACTTTGCTCCATTTTATGACCTTCCTTGCCACAGTTGTTAAGTGAATCCCTCAAGTTAAGTTAATAAGACCTTTGTTCAGTGAATCTGGCTTCCCCCCGTCGCTAAACGAGACGGCAGGTTCAGCGTGTCCTGCCCTGTTTTATGACTTTTCCTGCCATCGTTGTTAAAACGAATCGTTGCATCCGTTTGTCAGACGGTTGTTCAATGAATCCAGCTTCCCCATTGAGAAGGTGGCCAAAGGGGATCCCGTGACACCCCCCCACGGGACACTGCGACCGTCATAAATGTGAGTCAGTTGCCAAGCATCGTCTGAACTTGGATCACGCGATCCTGGGGATGCTGCGACGGTCGTTAAGTGTGAAAAACGGTCCTAAGCCCCTTTTTTCCAGTGCTGTTATAGCTTTGAATGGTCTCTAAATAAATTAATTCAATTCAATCAGATTAGAGATGGAAGGGACCCGGGAGGTCATCTAGTCTAACCCCCTGCTCAGGCAGGAGACCCCGATACCATTTCAGACAAATGGCTGTCCAATCTCTTCTTGAAAACCTCCAGTGTTGGAGCGTTCGCGACTTCTGGTGGCAAGCTGTTCCACTGGTTAATTGTCCTCACGGGCTCAGGAATTCTGGGAGTTGAAGTCCACAAGTCATAACAGAGCCAAGGTTCCCTGCCCCTGGTAGAGAGAGCGTCCTGCTTCAGCAGGGGGTTGGACTAGATGACCTCCAAGGTCCCTTCCAACTCTTGGTTATTCTGCAATATTTCTATTTGGAGATGGGGCTGGGTTCTTCTAAATTCACTCCTTCTAGATTCCTGCTTTGGATTCTGGGGCAAAGAAAAATAATAATAATAATAATAAAAAAGCCCGGAAGGCTTGCAGATCAAAGACGATGCCGTCTGCAAAACCAGCAAGGATTTTAAAAATGCCAACGCTGCAAATCTATTTATTTATCAGATTGCAGCCCCCCCCCCCCGCCCTGAACCCTGCAAGGTGGGGGGGGGGAGAAAGAGAGAAGGAGAGGAGAAAGAGAAAGAGGGAGAGAGAGAATGAGAAAGAGAGAATGAGAAAGAGAGAGAAGGGGAGATAGAAAGAATGAGATAGAGCAGTGGTTCTCAACCTGTGGGGTCCGGACCCCATTTGGGGTCGAACGACCATTTCACGGGGGTCGCCAAACAACGCAGTCCGCCATTTTTTCCCCCCTTTTCCTTGGCTGTGCTACTCCCTTTTATTCTATTGGCTTTTGAAAGCCAATAGAAGAGACTCTCTTGAATAGAGTCTAATTCTATTGGCTTTCCAAAGCCCATAGGAATGGTCCAGGCTGTCTCTGCCCTGCTGAGCCCGCCAAAAGCCCCATTCTGCAAACGGTGCTGCACCAGTTGAGTAGTCCTCGACTTACGACCGGTTGAGTAGTCCTCGACTTACGACCGGTTGGGGGTGGCAGCATTAAAAAGGTTGAGAACCACTGAGATAGAAAGAATGAGAAAAGAGGGGGGGGAGAATGAGAAAGAGAGGGAGAATGAGAGAGAGAATGAGAAAGAGAGAAAGAATGAGAGAATGAGAAAGAGAATGAGAAAGGGGGAGAATGATATAGAAAGAATGAGAAAGAATGAGAGAGGGAGAATGAGAATGAGAGAATGAGAAAGAGAGGGAGAATGAGAAAGAATGAGAGAGGGAGAATGAGAGAATGAGAAAGGGAGAGGGAGAAAGAATGAGAGAGAAAGAAAGAGAAAGAATGAGAATGAGAAAGAGGGAGGATGAGATAGAATGAGAAAGAATAAGAGGGAGAGAAAGAATGAGAATGTGAAAGAGAGAGAGCTCAGCTAGAATTTCCTGGTGGAGCCTCAAGTGTAGATTAGAACTCGTGTCTCCCTGCTAATTCAGAACCTTCTAGTCCCACTTTAGGCATAGGAGCTGGTTGGGTGTCTTTCAGCCAATCGCCAGGAGACAGTGAGTTATAGTCCTTCCTTAGATATGAAAGCCGGCTGGGTGACTCTGAGCCAATCGCCACGTGATGGCGAGTTCTAGTCCCGCCTTAGGCAGGAAAGCCGGCTGGGAGACAGTGATTGTTGTTAAGTGAACCTGGTTCCCCATTCACAGGTCGCGAAAGGGGATCACATGACCCCAGGACGCTGCGACCGTCATAAATATGAATCAGTAGCCAAGTGTCCAAATTTTGATCACGTCACCACGGGGATTCTGCAAGTCATAAGTGTGAAAAAAGTTCACAAGTCCCTTTTATTCAGTGCTGTTGTGATCTACTCTAAATTGTTGTGCGACTTTTTTATGCGCATTTGACTGGCAAAAGCCTGTTTTAGCTCTCTTCTTTATCCTCCCACTCTCTCTTCTTAATTCGGATGCAGCTACCTTCAGAATCTTGGGGGCAAAAAAAACAAAACAAAACACCCCAATCAAATCCGGTTCATGGCCCTTCTCCTTCTCCTTTGCAAGCCGCTAGTCCTCAAGATCAAGCCAGGAGACCAAAACGTCATTCAGGCAAGTGTTTTAATTAAAATACTTCATAGCACCATAAGAGTTGTTGAGAGCATACGAAATGCGGTTTATTATTATTATTTTCAATGTTTCCCTTTCTCTCGGGGTGGGTGGATGGGGGAACTCTTTGCCGGCCGGTTTAACAATTGGTCCCTTTTGGGGAGATCTCACCACAAGGAGATCCCCACCAGCTGGAATTCGGCGGAGCAGAAAGCAAAAACCCAGCAGAGTGAAGCCATCTTTTCCAACCTGGTTAACCTTCCAAGATGAGATGGGATCGTGGACTGTCCAGCTGCAGGTCCCGAGATCGTGATAAAAAAATTAAGACATATTTTTGCTTACATATTCTTCTTTTACCGGGAATCCAATTCGGTAAAAGAAAACCGGTCGGAAAGAAGGAACGCCAAGTTGCAGAAGAGCAGTTGGAAAAGGTGGGAGAGGCGTGGAAATTATTGGATAACAGACCCGTATCACCTCCCCCCCCCCAGAATCTTACCCTCCGACAAGGTGGCAGGCAAGGACCCCCGAGGGGAACCCCCCTCCTCAAAACAGCACATCTCCGTACGAGGGTACGAGCCCTCCAATTCCAACTGTCCTAATAAAATCATAGTATTTTTTGCACAGCTCGTTCCAAATCAATTCCTTCCCCGGTTTAAAATGAGTGCATTGAGATGAGTTTTAAAAGGCGTATTTCTTTTTAAAAAACAAAACAAAACAAAAAGATGACACTGGGTTACAAGGAAAAGCAGACGCGACGATGTGGTGGTGGTGGTGGGGGGAACCCCAGGCCAGAGATGGACTGGGGTCTTCTGGAGGGTGGTGGTGATGTGTGTGTGTGGGGGTGAATGTTAGCACCTCTAGCTGGGAACCCGCCACCCCCCGGGGAGGGCTCAGCTGCAGACCTCCAGGATCCGGGGGTCCCTGCTGGCTTGGAGTTGACCCAGAAGGAGAGGGGGGATCCCCTCCTTGTCCCGACCGCTCATTTGGCCAAAGCCCCCATTGGATCCCAGGCGGGCAGGCGAAGGGGCTCCTGCTGTAAGACCGCCAAGACTTCCTCCGGGACGTGTTTGCGATCAACTACCACTTCGTACACAAACTCGGAGAACCAGGCGTCCGTCATGAGCAGGTAACCTGGAAGGGAGATTGGGGGGGGGGAGAGAGAGAGAGAAAGAGAGTCAGATAGGCCAGGGGTCCGTGGACCGGTACCGGACCGCAGCCGATCTGCACAAACAAGGGAAGCCCCATCCACGGGATGCAGGCAGCACACGAAACCACGCACCCTCCGGTCCGCGGAAAAAAACTCTCTCCACGGAACCGGTGGTCCCTGGTGCCCCAACGGTTGAGGGCCTCTGCCTTAACAACTGTCTCGCTTAGCAACAGAAATGTGGAGCTCAATGGTGGTCGTGAGGCGAGGACCACCCAAAGTGGCTATTATTTTTTTTAAAAAAATTTAAGATATTTTAATTATTTTTCTATTTGTTCTATAATCTGTAAGCCGGCCAGAGTCACCCAAAAGAAGAGATGAGTGGTATAATAATTTAATAAAGATAGATAGATAGATAGATAGATAGATAGATAGATAGACAGACAGACAGACAGACAGACAGACAGACAGACGGATGATAGATAGATGATAGATAGATGTTAGGTAGATGAAAGGTAGATGATAGATAGATAGATAGATAGATAGATAGATAGATAGATAGATAGATAGATAGATAGATCGGTAGGTAGATAGATAGGTAGATAGGATTACACCCCAGAGTTCTCAAGGAACTGGCAGATGTGATATCGGAGCCACTGAACTATATTTTTCAAAGATCCTGGAACACAGGGGAACTACCAGAGGACTGGAAAAGAGCTGATGTAGTTCCCATCCTCAAAAAAGGAAAAAAATGGATCCAGGAAATTACAGACCTATCAGCCTGACCTCAATACCTGTGAAGATCCTGGAAAAGATAATCAAACAACGAATCAACGAACACCTAGAGGCAAACAAAGTCATTACTAAAAGCCAACATGGGTTTGTCAAAATAGATCATGCCAGACAAATCTTATTGCATTCTTTGACCAAGTGACAAAATTAGTGGATCAGAGGAATGCTGTGGACATAATTTACTTGGACTTCAGTAAGGCATTTGATAAAGTAGATCACAACCTACTACTTGACAAGATATAAAAATGTGGGGTAGACAGAACCACCACCAGATGGATCCGTAGCTGGTTGACCGGCCGTACTCAGCGAGTGGTCCTCAATGGAACTGCATCTATATGGAGGGAAGTGTGTATTGGGGTGCCGCAGGCTCTGTTCTGGGCCCAGTACTTTTCAACATCTTCATCAACGATTTGGATGAAGGGATAGATGGGGAACTCATCAAATTTGCAGACGACACCAAGCTGGCAGGAATAGCCAACACTCCAGAAGACAGGCTTCAGGTACAGAAGGATCTGGACAGACTTGAACACTGGGCACTAACTAACAAAATGAAATTCAATGGTGAAAAAAGCAAGGTTCTAGATTTAGGCAAGAAAAACCAAATGCACAAGTACAGCATAGGTGGCACCATGCTCAATAGTAGTAACTGTGATAGGGACCTCGGAGTCCTAGTAGACAATCACTTAAATATGAGCCAGCAGTGTGCGGCAGCTGCCAAAAAGGCCAACACAGTACTAGGCTGCATTAACAGAGGGATAGAATCAAGATCACGCGAAGTAGTAATACCACTCTTCAATGCCTTGGTAAGGCCACACTTGGAATACTGCATCCAGTTTTGGTCACCACGATGTAAAAAAGATGTTGAGACTCTAGAAAGAGTACAGAGAAGAGCAACAAAGATGATTAGGGGACTGGAGGCTAAAACATATAAGGAACGGTTGCGAGAATTGGGTATGTCTAGTTTAACTAAGAGAAGGACAAGGGGGGACATGATAGCAGTATTCCAATATCTCAGGGGATGCCATAAAGAAGAGGGAATTAAGCTATTTTCCAAAGCACCTGAAGGCAGGACAAGAAGCAACGGGTGGAAACTAATCAAGGAGAGAAGCAACCTAGAACTAAGGAGAAACTTCCTGACAGTGAGAACAATTAATCATTGTAACAGCTTGCCTCCAGAAGCAGTAAATGCTCCAACACTGGAAGTTTTTAAGAAGAGACTGGACAGCCATTTGTCCGAAATGGTGTAGTGTTTCCTGCCCGAGCAGGGGGTTGGACTAGATGACCTCCAAGGTCCCTTCCAACTTTACTATTATTATTATTATTATTATTATTATTATTATTATTATTATTATTATTATTATTATATAGGTAGATAGATAGATATAGATAGATGATAGAGAGAGATAGAGATATAGGTAGGTAGGTAGATAGATAGACAGACAGATAGACAGACAGACAGACAGACAGATCGGTAGGTAGGTAGATAAATAGGTAGGTAGGTAGGTAGGTAGGTAGGTAGGTAGGTAGGTAGGTAGATAGATAGATAGATAGATAGATAGATAGATAGATAGATAGATAGATAGATAGATGAAAGGTAGATGATAGATAGATAGATAGATAGATAGATAGATAGATAGATAGATACATACATACATACATACAGATATAGAGATAGATAGATAGGTAGGTAGGTAGGTAGCTGTTTCTTCCTTTAAACTGTCAGTGGGGGTATGATAATGGCAGTTAAAAGGAAGAAACAGCTACGATCACACATTGCTCCTAGAAGCACGAAGCCGAAAACACCAGCCTGAAGATGTCGAATGAGACTTCGTCGAAACATCGCCAAGACACTTCCAATTTGACGCGGGAGAAAACCCGAATAACCAAAGACCTACATAGATAGATAGATAGATAGATAGATAGATAGATAGATAGATAGATAGATAGATAGATAGATAGATAGATAGACAGACAGACAGACAGACAGACCTGTCAGCAAGAACCGCCTGAATTTGACAGGTAAGTAGGCTGGGGAATTCTGGGAAGTTGAAATTCAGGCCTGTTGAAGTGCCCCAGTTTGAGACACCCTGGCTTGAACAGAGATGCATTGGATCACTCCACAGACTCACAGCTGGCTGGGGAATTCTGGGAGTTGCAGTCCAGGCCTCTTAAAAGCTGCCAAGTTTGAAAAATAGGGATTGAAACGAATCTACAACATAATCCACAAATTGGCTTGCTCCAAAATGAAGTTGCCGGGCCTACAGGCTCCCTCTGAGAGCCACCCACCATTCAGCCCCAGTTGAGCTTTGAACCACGACAGCAGTGTGATAAACCACAACCAGGAAGACGGCACGGAGCTGGCAAAGAGAACACAGTGCAGAGACTGAGACGGCTCTAAGGAAGTAACCAATTAATTCAACCAATCCATTGAGTTACGTAACAGTCAGTGGAACGGCTCGCCTGCAGAAGATGTGGGCGCTCCAAGCACTGGAGGTTTTTAAGAAGAGGTCGGACAGCCATTGGTCTGGAAAGGTCTAGAGCAGTGGTTCTCAACCTTTTTAATGCCGCGACCCCCAACCAGTCGTAAGTCGAGGACTACTCAACCGGTCGTAAGTCGAGGACTACTCAATGGGTGCAGAATGGGACTGTTGGCGGGCTCAGCAGGGCAGAGACAGCCTGGACAATTCCGATTGGCTTTTGAAAGCCAATAGAATTAGACTCTGTTCAAGAGCGTCTATTCGATTGGCTTTCAAAAGCCAATAGAATAAAAGGGAGTAGCACAGCTAAGGAAAAGGGGGGGAAAAAATGGCGGACTGCGTTGTTTGGCGACCCCTGTGAAATGGTCGTTCGACCCCAAATGGGGTCCCCACCCACAGGTTGAGAACTACTGGAATAGAGTTTCCTGCCTAGGGAAGGGGTTGGACTAGATGACCTCCCAAGGTCCCTTCCGACTTGGTTATTCTGTTCTGTCTGGTTTCCTGAATTCCTTTATCTTAAAAGGAAACCACTCGTGCATCTTGTGCAAGACAAACGGGACAAAAGGCTGAAATCATCCTCCGTGGGAAAGGAAAAATTCAGAGCTGGGAAAAATATACATATATACGCCTATATTTTGCTCAGAAGGGGACGAATTTTGCCTTACGAGGCTTTGCTGGCCTCCTCACCCCAGTTCCTGCTTGACAAGCCCACTTCTCCAAAGATCCAGTCCAGACAAGTCCTATCCCTGACTCAGTCCTTTCAAAATACTGTCACAGACGGCGGGTATGGTGAAGGCCTTAAATAACTTGATGATTGGGATGGTCTTTAGAAGTTTGATGACTATTGATCAGAGATGGCCTAGGACAGGGATGGGCTACCTTGGCAACTTTAAGACTGGTGGACTTCCACTCCCAGAATTCCTCAGCCAGCCATGCTTTAAGAGGGGTGGGCTTCCACTTCCACAATTCCCCAGCCAGCATGCTTTAAGAGGGGTGGGCTTCCACTCCCAGAATCCCCCAGCTAGCCTGCTTTAAGAGGGGTAGATTTCCATTCCCAGAATCCCCCAGCTAGCCTGCTTTAAGAGGGTGGGCTTCCACTCCCAGAATCCCCCAGCTAGCCTGCTTTAAGAGGGGTAGACTTCCACTCCCAGAATTCCCCAGCTAGCCTGCTTTAAGAGGGGTAGACTTCCACTCCCAGAATTCCCCAGCTAGCCTGCTTTAAGAGGGTGGGCTTCCACTCCCAGAATCCCCCAGCTAGCCTGCTTTAAGAGGGGTGGGCTTCCACTCCCAGAATCCCCCAGCCAGCCTGCTTTAAGAGGGGCGGACCTCAATTCAGCATGCTGGCTGGGGAATTCTGGGAGTAGAAGCCCACCCCTCTTAAAGCATGCAGGTGGGGAATTCTGGGAGTGGAAGCCCACCCCTCTTAAAGCATCCTGGCTTGGGGATTCTGGGTGTGGAAGTCCACCCCTCTTAAAGCACTCTGGCTGGGGGATTCTGGGACTTGAAGTCCTCCCCTCTTAAAGCAGGCTGGCTGGGTAATGCTGGGAGTGGAAGCCCACCCCTCTTAAAGTGGACAAACAAACTCCCTGATTAACCGGGATTTTTCCCAAGCTAACCTAAGGTGTTGTGCTGTTCTCTTTTCCAATTTCTAGTTTTTCATTTTTATTTCTTTTTATTTCTTTAATTAGGAACAAACAGACCCCCATACCTAAGTCTTTTCCTACTGACCCCAGAGCCCCACGGGCCTTACAATCAAACCGCTTTGGCATCCAGAACCCAGATCCCTGAATGGAGACTTTTTCAGCCCTCCCTCTCCAATTTGGGTCAAACTAGCCAGGGCCAGCAAAGGGTCCAAATTCGAAGTGTGTCCAGAGCCACGAAAAGCCTCCAGGGGACACGAAGAATTCAGTCCCACGATGCACAGCCTGCCCTGCCCACTTTTTCCTATGGCGTGGAAAAAACAAAACACAAAAAGACCCAGAACAAAATGTGCAGAGAAGAGCGAGAGATTTCGGCCAGTATTTTTGGAAACAAAAAACCAAGAAAAAGCAGTTTGATAACCTCAGGAGCCCTAGGAAATTCCAGAACATTGGAGGAAGTCCCTTGGCAGCGTGAACAATGCCCTTTGGGGTGGGGGGGAGGTCCTGGGAAAGCAGAGCGGTCCGGGTGAGCAGAGGGGGGAATGGCTGGCCGGAAAGGTGGGTCCAGACCCCAAGAAACGGCTCCGACTTCCTACGTTCTCGCACTCAGCACCTCCCCTGTTTTAATCTGTTGCTTTTGGTCGGCCTCTCCCAGCGACGTTGGACGTCGGTCTCTGAATCCCTCCAGGCCCAGCCGAACTCCGCTTCCAAACTGGGGGTCCTCAACTTACGACCACCACGGAGCCCTAAATTTCCGTGGCTAAGCGAGACACTTGTTAAGTGAGCTTTGCCCCATTTTACGACACTTCCTTGGCAGATTTTTTTTTTAAAGCGAAGCCCGGCCGTTGCTAACTTAGTCACGCGGTCGTTAAGCAAATCCGGCTTCCCCCACTGACTTTGGTAGCCAGAAGGTCGCAAAAGGAATCACGTGAGACCCCCCGGGGGACGCGGAATAACCGTCGTAAATATGAGTCAGTGGCCGAGCATCTGAATTTTGATCACGTGACGTTGGAGATGCTGCGACCGTCGTAAATACGAGTCAGTGGCCGAGCTCAAAATTTCCGTTTGCTAAGCGGGGATAGGGGTCCAAAGAATCCTGCCCCAATTTTACGACCGTTCGCGTCACAGTGGTTAAGGGAATAACTGAGGTTGTTAAGTTACACGGTCGTTAAGCGAATCTGGGTTCCCCACTGACTTGACTTGTCGGAAGGTCGCAAAATGGGGTAATGTGACCCCCTCCCCCCCCGGGACGATGCAACCGTCCTAAACGCGAGTCAGTTGCCAAGCGTCGGAAATTTGGATCGCCCCGGGGAGGACGCTACCAACGGTCTTTAAGGGTGAAAAACGTCGGTGCCGTCGTAACTTTGAACGGTCACTAAGCAGGGCTACCTGTAATCGGACCCCCACTTGTCTTCATGGACTTAATTTTTGGGGGGGGGGGAGACAAATCAGGAGAGGCAGATTGCTTGCAGGGGGATGTGTTGCATCCAGATGACCCCCTCCTCCTTTGGCTCAATCCGGAAGCCCCCCCCCTTTTCACACACCCCCTTCCCCCCAAGGCCCACCGTACCTTTATTCCCACGGTCTTCGCCCCACGAATTCTCCACGCGCCACTTCTCGTAGCCCTCGTCTGGTTCTTCCTGGAAAGAGGAATCGCGGGTCGTGAGAAAAACCCAGGGAAAATCCCGGTGGCGTTCCTCTGGGATTGGAATTTACGGGAAAAGGGCTGGTTCTGCCTGATCAAATCATTTTTATCAACGGTTTTTACGGCAGCGATTTTTAATTTTTTTTAAAAAAAGCTACAGGCAGTCCTCAACTTACGACTAGAATGGAGCCCCGTACATTAAACCGGGGGTTTAGTGAGCTTTGCCCCAGTTTACGCCCTTTCTTGGCCAAGGTTGTTAAGCGAATCACCGCAGCGGTTAATAATGCGGTTGTTAAGTGAAGCTGGCTCCCCCTCCCCATTGACTTGGCTTGTCAGACAGTTGCAAAATGGGATTGCGTGACACCCCTCCCGGGACGCTGCGAAACTGTCGTAAATACGAGTCAATTGCCAAGCGTCTGGATTTTAAGCACGTGGCCTGCGACGGTCATTAAGTGTGAAAAAACCGGTCCTAAGTCCCTTTTTTTCTGGGCCGTCGTAGCTTGGGACAGTCACTAAGCAAGCTGCTGTAAGGCAAATGGCAGTTTTTGCACATGTCCTGTTGTGTTACTTGGTGTCCTGCGGTCAAGAATGCTTTTAGACCTTTGGACAAGCCGGCTGCTAAGGCATACAGGCTTCCCACCAACCCGGCATTCCTGGTTTGTTTGTATTTGGCTGTCAACCACAGCTTCTCTCCCAATTTCTCTTCAGGCCCATCCTGGTTTTTGCAACTGCTAAACGGTGGTGTGTGTGTGTGTGTGTGTGTGTGTGTGTGTGTGTGTGTGCGTGTGCGTGTGTAGATTTCTATGTGTGCCACATTGTTGCAAAACATATTTAAACAACCAAACCAGGATTGTTGGGGACGATAAAGCAGTGGAGGGGGAATTTTCAAAGCCTCGGAGGGAAGAGAATTGCTATGCGTGGGAAGATGACTAACTTCTGGGCAGTGTTCCCGATGTGTGTGTGTGTATGTGTGTGTGTGTGTGGTGTGTGTAGACCACCCTCATCAGATAATTCCCACCCTCAGTTTTGAGGCTGTGGGGATGCTATTTTGATGTTGCTTGAGCATTTAGTGTCCCTTGAAAACAGTGGCGTCCAACCTTGGTAACTTTACGACTTGTGGACTTCAACTCCCAGAATTCCCCAGAGGACAACCAGAAGCAAACGAGGATGGACTCAGTTGATGGGTCAACAATGGGAAGCCTTGAGGGACCAGGTATGGGACAGATTGTGGAGAAGGTCTGTCTAGGTCAGGGGTGGGGAACGGTGGCCCTTTTATGACTGGTGGACTTCAATTCCCAAAATTCCTGAGCCAGCATAAAGCCATAAAAGGGCCATTGGTTCCCATGCTGGCTCAGGAATTCTGGGAGTTGAAGTCCACCAGTCATGAAGGGGCCACAGTTCCCCCATGCTGGCTCAGGAATTCTGGGAGTTGAAGTCCACGAGTCATGAAGGGAGCCATAGTTCCCCCATGCTGGCTCAGGAATTTTGGGAGTTGAAGTCCACCAGTCAGGAAGGGGCCATAGTTCCCCCATGCTGGCTCAGGAATTCTGGGAGTTGAAGTCCACAACTCATAAAAGGGCCACCATTCCACCCTTCTGATCTAGGTGGTCCCTAAAAGCTGACACCAACCTGAAGACACATAACGGCGAAGGTCTATGCAAGTGGTTGTTGAGTTGACACCCACTGGATAACCCATAATCAATCAACCCGGCCTGGCCAATCCATAGGATAGGTAAATTTAAGGCAGGGGGAAGCATTTCCTCCCAAGCCACTTACTTTCTTGCTGAAGGCTGTAATGACCATGGCGTGCGTCATCATGGAGTCCCCGAAAATCAGCCGCTCGTCTTTCTTCAGATTCTTGACTGATACGCCGAACATCAGCTCGTGATTGTATCTGCCAACAGCCAAAAAGGTTCTGCGGGGGGCAAGTGGGACTGGGACCGCTGGGTGGACTTCAACTCCCACAATCCATTGCTGGTCGGGACTGAAGGGAGGGGTCACCCCAAACACCTGGGCTGCTTTGTCCTCTCCTATCTAAAAAATGCTGGATTAAACTCAGAGTATCCTTCAGCCAGCTGGGTCCCGCCTGAGTGACTTTAGGCCAATCAGCAGGAGACTGGAAGTTCTAGTCCCGCCTTAGGCAGGAAAGCCAGCTGGGTGACTTTGGGCCAATCAGCAGGAGACTGGAAGTTCTAGTCCCGCCTTAGGCAGGAAAGCCAGCTGGGTGACTTTGGGCCAATCAGCAGGAGACTGGAAGTTCTAGTCCCGCCTTAGGCATGAAAGCCAGCTGGGTGACTTTGGGCCAATCAGCAGGAGACGGTGAGTTCTAGTCCCGCCTTAAGTATGAAAGCCAGCTGGGTGACTTTGGGCCAATCACCAGGAGACGGTGAGTTCTAGTCCCGCCTTAAGTAGGAAAGCCAGCTGGGTGACTTTGGGCCAATCACCAGGAGACAGTGAGTTCTAGTCCCGCCTTAGGCAGGAAAACCAGCTGGATGACTTTGAGCCAATCACCAGGAGACGGTGACTTCTAGTCCCGCCTTAAGTATGAAAGACAGCTGGGTGACTGGGCCAATCACCAGGAGACGGTGAGTTCTAGTCCCGCCTTAAGGATGAAAGCCAGCTGGGTGACTTTGGGCCAATCAGCAGGAGACGGTGAGTTCTAGTTCTAGTCGCGCCTTAGACGCAAAAGCCAGCTAAGTGACTTCAGGCCCGTCCCTCTCCCTGAACCCAGCCCACCTCACAGGGTTGTCGTTGCGGAGAAAATAGGAAGAGAAAGGAATTTTAGGCATGTTCGCCACCCTGAGTTACTCAGAGAAACAATAAGTGAATCAATACATGTATCGACCCATGAATGCGAGGAATAAAATAATGGATAGATGAGAAAAGGAACCGTGGCCTCTGCATGCAGGCAAGAAGCCCCCAGCCCCCCAGTGAGCGAAACCGGGGCCCCTGCTTGGAAGCGCTCCCCAGGGGCAGCCCCCCCACCCACCCAGCCCCTCCGAACGGGGGTCCATCCTGCAGCAAACCTCACATCTTCAAATCGTTGATGCCCAGCTTGCTGTTAAAACATTTCCCGACGTCGCAGCCAAACCACACGGCCTGCGGGAGGAGAAAGAGCCGTCAGGATGAGGGAGAAAAAGGCAAAAGAGAGTCGGGGTCAACCAAGGGGGTGGGGTGGGGGGGGAAGGGGTCTGGGCAGGGAGAGGCAAGTGGCCGACCTCTCCATCCTGAATGGACGCCGCCGCCATCTTTTTCAACAGCTCCACCGGCTGATTGTTGTACAGGGTCTTCCGGCCGCCCACCATGTTGCCCAGGTACTCCACCGTGTAGAGCTGGTTGTATTTGTTCCGGGGTCGAGGATCGTTCACGAGACACACCTGGGAAGATGGGAGAGGAGAGGGGGGAGGGTTAGGGGTAACTGGGGGGGGGGCAGGAAGGGGCAAGTCCTGGGTGGGTTTGCATGCCCCCACCGGCTAGAGGGGAAGGTTTAAATTTCGGGATGTCCGACTTTGGCCACGTCGAGGCTTGTGGACTTCAGTTCCCAGAATGCCCCAGCCGGCATGGGACTAGAACTCCCTGCCTTGGGGTGATGGGGCCACAATCACTCAGCTGGCTTTCATGCCTAAGGAAAGGGCTAGAACTCACCGTCTCCTGGCGACCGGGCCAAATTCACCCAGCTGGCTTTCACGCACTAGAACTCCCGGTCTCCTGGTGGTTGGCCCAAAATCACCCAGCTGGCTTTCATGGCTAAGGCAGGACTAGAACTCACCGTCTCCTGGTGATTGGCCTAAAGTCACCCAGCCAGCTTTTATTGCTAAGGAGGTACTAGAACTCACTGTCTCCTGGTGATTGGCCCAAAGTCACTCAATTGGCTTGCATCTCTAAAGTGGGACTAGAACTTCCAAGAGCCTGGTGAGTGGGTCAAAGGTCCCCAGCTGGCTTTCCTGCCTAAGGCAGGACTAGAACTCACCGTCTCCTGGCAATTGGGCCAAAGTCACCCAGCTGGCTTTCACGCCTAAGGCAGAAACTAGAACTTACTGTCTCCTAGTGATTGGGTCAAAGTCACCAAGCATCTTTCATGACTAAGGCGGGACTAGACTTCACAGTCTCCTGGTGACTGGCCCAAAGTCACCCAGCCAGCTTTTATTGCTAAGGAGGGACTAGAACTCACAGTCTCCTGGTGATTGGCCCAAAGTCACTCAATTGGCTTTCATCTCTAAAGTGAGACTAGGACTTCCAAGATCCTGGTGATTGGGCCAAAATCACCCAGCTGGCTTTCACGCCTAAGGCAGAAACTAGAACTTACTGTCTCCTGGTGATTGGGCCAAAGCCACCAAGCATCTTTCATGACTAGGGCGGGACTACACCTCACAGTCTCCTGGTGACTGGCCCAAATTCACCCAGCCACCTTTTATTGCTAAGGAGGTACTAGAACTCACTGTCTCCTGTTGATTGGCCCAAAGTCACCAGGCTGGCTTTCCTGTCTAAGATGGGACTAGAACTCACTAACTCCTAGTGATGGGATCAAAGGCCCCCAGCCGGCTTTCCGGATTAAAGCGGGACTAGAACTGCCCATCTTCTGGTTTCTTGGCCAGCACCTTAGGATGCTTTACAGCAGTGGTTCTCAACCTTTTTAATGCCGCGACCCCCAACCGGTCGTAAGTCGAGGACTACTCAACCGGTCGTAAGTCGAGGACTACTCAACTGGGGCAGCACCGTTGGCAGAATGGGACTTTGGGCGGGCTCAGCAGGGCAGAGACAGCCTGGACAATTCCGATTGGCTTTTGAAAGCCAATAGAATTAAACTCTATTCAAGAGAGTCTCTTCTATTGGCTTTCAAAAGCCAATAGAATAAAAGGGAGTAGCACAGCTAAGGAAAAGGGGGGAAAAATGGCGGACTGCGTTGTTTGGCGACCCCAGTGAAATGGTCGTTTGACCCCAAATGGGGTCCTGACCCACAGGTTGAGAACCACTGCTTTACATAAACCATAAAATAAGAGAACAGACTATGGCGTCAAATCCCTCGTGGGCTTCCCGTAGGCGAGGAGAAAGGAGAATTCCAATCAACGCGCCCTTCCAGGTTGAATCCAAAGGGAATTCTAGTTTCAGCCAGGAAGGCAGGCTGAAAACGTCGGAGCTGATGCCGGAGGATGGGTTGGGGGACACGGCTGGGCTGGGCTGGGCTGAAGAAAGAGGTATTTCAGGTGAGGAAGGCGCCCAGATCCCGACAAAAGATTCCAGGATCCGGCTGGTTTACGTCGCGGGATCTCCCTACCTTGCTCTCCATATCAAAGAGCGGCTTGACGTGTTCCTGGTAAAACTTTGCAGGGCTGATCGGACCGATCTTGTGGTAGTTTTTGTCCTTGTCGTAATATTCCCAAGAGAAGGTGGTAGGGGGGTTCCCCAGGCAGATGCTGACCACCCGGAAGACCTGGAAGAGGAGAGGAGGACGTGGCGGTGGAGACCCAGCCATCCCCTAAGCTGGCTGGGCGAGGTTGGAAGCAGCGGGTTGGAAGCGGAGGAAAGAGGGAGGCGGAGGGCAAAGGAAAAAGCATGGCAGCGCCACAATGGGATTTGCACCCAGGGTCGCCAAGGAGGAAACCTCAAGCTGCCAGAGGTGTGAGGAGGAGGAGGAGGAGGGGGAGGAAGAAGACTGTGGGGACTCTGGTGCCCTCTGAGCCTAGTGGTTTCCTTGCAGACATTTCATTACCCAACTAGGTAACATCATCAATGCTAGAAGGAGGGGGGGTTTGCAAGGAGGAGGAGGAGGGAGAGCAGGACCGTGGGGTCCCTGGTGCTCTCTCTGAGCCTGGTGGTTTTCTTATAGACGTTTCATTACCCAACTAGGTAACATCATCAGTCCTAGAACGGAGGGAGGAAGGAAGGAAGGAAGGAAGGAAGGAAGGAAGGAAGGAAGGAAGGAAGGAAGGAGAAGGAGGAGAAGGAAGGAGAAAGAAGGAAGTAAAATGGCCGTGGGGTCCTTGGTGCTAATTTACGGATAAATATCAACCAGAAGGGACCCTGGAGGTCTTCTAGTCCAACCCCTCAAGCAGGAGACCCTGGACCATTTCAGACAAGGGGCTGACCAGTCTTTTCTTTGCTCTCAGAGCTGGGTTGTTTTCTTGATTTAAACGGCCACTGAACAAACTGTTGTAAGCGAAGGGCTACTTGTATTTATGACGGTCGCCCCGTCCTGGGTTCAGGGGATCCCATTTGTGACCTTCCCAACTGGCTTCCAACAACCAGAGTCAATGGGGGAAGCCAGATTCACTTAACGACTGCATGGTTCACCGAACGGGTGCAGGATCTGCTTAACCGCCGGGGTGAAAAAGCTCACAAAATCGGGTGCAACACACTGAACAACGGCCGAAATCCTGGCCCCGTCTAGGCTCCATGGGCAGCCACAGAGGACGACTTATTATACATTGTCCTCTACTGCCCTCTGGTGTCCAGATCCCAAACCAACACCTCTCAACTGTCCTGGGCAAACAAGGTCTAGTAGTAGTAGTAGTAGTAAGAAGAAGAAGAGGAGGAGGAGGAGGAGGAAGAGAAAGAAAAAGAGGAGGAAGAACGAGGAGGAAAAAGAAAGAGGAAGGAGGAAGAAGAAGGAGGAAGGAGGAAGGAAGGAGGAGTAGGAAGAAGAGGAAGAAAAGGAGGAGGAGGAAGAATGAGAAAGAGGAAGGAGGAGGAGGAAGAAGAGGAGGAGAAGGAGGAGGAGGAAGGAGGGAGGAGGAGGAGGAGGGAGGAGAAGAAGAAGGAGGAGGATGAGGAGAAGAAGGAGGAGGAGGAGGGAGGAGAAAAAGAAGGAGAGGAGGAGGAGAAGGAGGAGGAGGGAGAAGAAGGAGGAGGAGAGGAGGAGGAGAAGAAGGAGGAGGAGGGAGGGAGGAGGAGGAGGAGGAGGGAGAAGAAGAAGGAGGAGAATGAGGAGAAGAAGGAGGAGGAGGAGGAGGGAGGAGGAGGAAGGAGGAGAAAAAGGAGGAGAGAAGGAGGAGGAGGAGAAGGAGGAGGAAGGAGAAGGAGGAGGAGGGAGGAGAAGAAGAAGGAGGAGAGGAGGAGGAGGAGAAGGAGGAGGAGGAAGGAGGGGGAAGGAGGAAGAGGAGGAGGAGGGAGAAGGAGGAGGAGGAGGAGGAAGGAGGGGGAAGGAGGAGGAGGAGGAAGGAGGGGGAAGGAGGAGGAGAAGGAGGAGGAGGGAGGGGGAAGGAGGAGGAGGAGGAGGAGGGAGAAGAAGGAGGAGGAGGGAGGGGGAAGGAGGAGGAGGGAGAAGAAGGAGGAGGAGGAGGAGGAGGGAGGGGGAAGGAGGAGGAGGAGGAGGAGGGAGAAGAAGGAGGAGGAGGAGGAGGGAGAAGGAGGAGGAGGAGGAGGGAGGGGGAAGGAGGAGGAGGAGGAGGAGGGAGAAGGAGGAGGAGGAGAAGGACTCATTCAGAAGCCAGCCCCAAGCACTAGGACTGGGGTCCCTCCCCACCCCTGAGGACTCCCTCCCGCTACCTCTTCTATCATGGTGTCCACGGCTCCGGAAAGTTCCTCTTTGCTGCATTCCGTTTCTACCATGTTTCTTAGTCGGAGGCAATATTCCCGCATCTGTTTGGAAGGAGCAACATTCATTAAGAGCCTTCAAAATGGTAAAAGCACCGGTCAGTACACAGGTGGTCTTCCATTGACAACGGCTCGTTTAGTGACCATTCAACAGTTACAACGGCAGTGAAAAAAAGCCACTTATGACCGTTTTTCACACTTTACGTCCATTGCAGCATCCCCCCCCCTTGTGGGTCACAGGATCAAAATTTAGAGGCTCGGCAAGTGACTCGTACTTATGACAGTTGCAGTGTGATCCCCGGGCTTATGTGATCCACTTTTGCAGCCTTCTGACAAGCGAAGTCAGTGGGGGGGGGAAGCGGGATTCGCTTAACGACCGTGTGACTAACTGGACCCGCTGCAGTGAATCACTTAACAAAACTGGAGGAAGAAAGGTAGTAACATCGGGCAAAATCTACTTCACAGCTGCCTCACTTGGCAACAGAAATGTGACTTTGGCAGCTAAACAGGGTTACAAGAGAACTAAAAAAAAAAGACACTTATGGTCCTCGTCGTAAGTTGAGGACTATTTGTCGAGGGGACGGGGAAGCTGAGAAAGCCGTGGTTGGACGGGGTGATGAGATCCTTTCCAAGGAGCAGAGGAGGTGGTGGGTGGACGTGGTGTAAGCTGGGAGGATTTGGCAAGGAGAGAGAAAAGATCTGCCAGCTGGTATTTACTTTGTATGTAAATGATATTTAATTAGATTTCCTCTTCTTTGATCTCCCACTTTTAATTTCTTTGGCTTGCCGGCTCTTCTTTCCCGTCTGATGTCTGCATAAGGTTGCTTCTCCCAAAAACAATTAGTGGGGTGACTCAGCTATTTAGTTAAAGCATTTATTCAGCTATTTAGTTAAAGCATTTATTCAGCTATTTAGTTAAAGCATTTACTCAGCTATTTAGTTAAAGCAATTATTCAGTTAATCAAATTCTGGGTGCTCTCAACCAGTAGTTAAAACAACGCCAATATATCATTACGCAGGGGTAGGCAACCTTGACTCTTTTATGACTTGTGGACTTCAACTCCCAGAATTCCTGAGCCAGCATGAGGGAAACTTTGGCCCCTTCACAACTCGGGGACTTCAACTCCCAGAATTCCTGAGCCAGCATGGGGGAACTTTGGCCCCTTCATGACTGGTGGACTTCAACTCCCAGAATTCCTGAGCCAGCATGAGGGAAACTTTGGCCCCTTCACAACTCGTGGACTTCAACTCCCAGAATTCCTGAGCCAGCATGGGGGAACTTTGGCCCCTTCATGACTGGTGGACTTCAACTCCCAGAATTCCTGAGCCAGCATGAGGGAACTTTGGCCCCCTCATGACTGGTGGACTTCAACTCCCAGAATTCCTGAGCCAGCATGGGAGAACTATGGCCTCCTTTATGACTGGTGGACTTCAACTCCCAGAATTCCTGAGCCAGCATGGGGGAACTATGGCCCCTTCATGACTTGTGGACCTCAACTCCCAGAATTCTTGAGCCAGCATGGGGGAACTTTGGCCCCCTCATGACTCGTGGACTTCAACTCCCAGAATTCCTGAGCCAGCATGAGGGAAACTTTGGCCCCTTCACAACTCGTGGACTTCAACTCCCAGAATTCCTGAGCCAGCATGGGGGAACTATGGCCCCCTCATGACTTGTGGACTTCAACTCCCAGAATTCCTGAGCCAGCATGGGGAAACTTTGGCCCCTTCACAACTCGTGGACTTCAACTCCCAGAATCCCTGAGCCAGCATGGGGGAACTATGGCTCCTTCATAACTCGTGGACTTCAACTCCCAGAATTCCTGAGCCAGCATGAGGGAAACTTTGGCCCCTTCACAACTCGTGGACTTCAACTCCCAGAATCCCTGAGCCAGCATGGGGGAACTATGGCTCCTTCATAACTCGTGGACTTCAACTCCCAGAATTCCTGAGCCAGCATGAGGGAAACTTTGGCTCCTTCACAACTCGTGGACTTCAACTCCCAGAATTCCTGAACCAGCATGGGGGAACTATGGCCCCTTCATGACTCGTGGACTTCAACTCCCAGAATTCCTGAGCCAGCATGGGGAAACTTTGGCCCCTTCACAACTCGTGGACTTCAACTCCCAGAATCCCTGAGCCAGCATGGGGGAACTATGGCTCCTTCATAACTCGTGGACTTCAACTCCCAGAATTCCTGAGCCAGCATGAGGGAAACTTTGGCCCCTTCACAACTCGTGGACTTCAACTCCCAGAATCCCTGAGCCAGCATGGGGGAACTATGGCTCCTTCATAACTTGTGGACTTCAACTCCCAGAATCCCTGAGCCAGCATGGCTCAGCTTGGAAACCTCTCCCTTTCCCCTCAGCATGCCTGGCTCAGGAATTCTGGGATTTGAAGTCCACGAGTCATAAAAGAGCCAAGGTTCCCCACCCCTGAGGTAGGCCTTGAGTTACAAACACAACTGAACTGCTGCAGGTGACACAATCGTCTGTTACTAAGTGAGATGGTTCTTAAGTGAGTTTTGTCCCAATTTACGACCTTGATCACCACCGTTGTTAAACGAATTGCTGCAGTTGTTGAGTAACACAGCTGTTAAGTGAATCTGGCTTCTCCCCATTGATTTTGCTTGTCAGAAGGTCAGCAAAGCGGATCTTGTGACCCTTAAGACACTACAACCGACATAAGTCCATGCCAGTTTCCAAGCAGATCAAACTCAACGGGTCCCTCCAGGAAGCTCCGGAGGCAGAGATTTCTTTTCTTTTTTAAAAAATAATATTTTATTAATTTTCCAATTTTACATTTGAGTATTTATAAAGCATCTTTAGCGCAAGTCTCAGGTTACAACATCAGATATTTCTTCTCTTTTTCCCTTAACATTTACTGCAGTGGTTTTCAACCTTTTTAATGCCGCGACCCCCATTCGGTCGTAAGTCGAGGACTACTCAACCGGTCGTAAGTCGAGGACTACTCAACTGGTGCAGCACTGTTTGCAGACTGGGGTTTTTGGCGGGCTCAGCAGGGCAGACAGCCTGGACAATTCCTATTGGCTTTTGAAAGCCAATAGAATTAGACTCTATTCAAGAGAGTCTATTCGATTGGCTTTCAAAAGCCAATAGAATAAAAGGGAGTAGCACAGCTAAGGAAAAGGGGGGGAAAATGGCGGACTGCATTGTTTGGCGACCCCCGTGAAATGGTCGTTCGACCCCAAATTGGATCCCGACCCACAGGTGGAGAACCACTGATTTACTGTCTCGTATTCAGGTTAGTACATTTTTAGTTATATCAACTCAATAAGAACATCATTACATTTATCAATACATTTTTAGCCTGTACACATCTTAATTACATTCAATCTTCATAAACAATCCATATCCTGTTCTTGATTCTTACTCAATTTTTAATTTCTCATCGATATTCCAATTTAATCTTTAATATCCATAATTTTCAGACTTTGGATAACCTGAGCAGGAGGTGGACTAGATGACCTCCAAGGTCCCTTCCAACTTTTTATTATTATTATTATTATTATTATTATTATTATTATTATTATTATTATTATTATTTCCCTGATCTCACTTCATAACAAACTATAATGTCCAAAATACACATTTTCATCTATTTAAATGTAATCTTGTTCTATGTCCTAAAAGTTATCTATTTCCCACCATATTAAGTCATCTACTTAATAATACAATGTCCCCTTTGATAAATCAAAGCCAGAGGCTTCTCACCCACGTCCCACCTACCTTGTTGTTTAGAATGTCATTCATCCGTCTGGAGGCCTCGGAGGTGCTGGATTCAGGAAAAACCTTCTTGGGGACAATGCCGTACTTTTCTGTTTTTAAGACAAAAAAACCCCAAAAAACTCCACCATTCAACACAAATTATCACACCAGCCAGCTGTCAGGTCGGAGAAAGTCTCCATAAAGGGGAATATTTGCAGCTCAGGATTGAACTGAAGGGTTCGCTGGGAGGTTTTCTTGCCGACGTTTCATGACCCAACTAGGGAACATCATCAACTAGAAGGGAGGAGGACGACTGTGGGGTCCTGGGTGAGCCGGTTGGTTTTCTTGCAGATATTTCATGACCCAACTAGGTCACGTCATCAGTGCTAGAAGGGAGGAGGAGGAGGAGGAGGAGGAGGTGGAGGAGGAGAAAAATTGTAGGGTCCTGGGTGCTCTCTGAGCTGGGTGGTTTTCTTGCAGATGTTTCATGACCCAGCTAGGGAATATCCTCAGTGGTAGAAGGGAGTAGAGTTTACAGAGAGAAGGAGGAAGAGGAGGAGGAGGAGGAGGGGGGGGAGGAGGAGGAGGAGGAGACGACAAAGGAATGAAGGAGAGGAAGACCAAGAGGAGAGAGAAGAGGATTCTGGAGTCTTAATTGATCTCTGAGCTGGGTGGTTTTCTTGCAGACATTTCACGACCCAACTAGGGAACGTTCTCAGTGCTAGAAGGGAGGGGGGTTTATGGAGTGGAGAAGAATGGCAGCAGGAATAATGTGGGGTCCTTAGTGCCCCCCTGAGCCTGGTTGTTTTCTTACAGACATTTCATTACCCAACTAAGTCACATTATCAGTGACAGAAGGGTGTGAGGTGGGGAGGGGGAGGAGTGCTAGGAGAGAGGGGGGTGCATTCTGTTCATTTGTGATAACTTTTGTTATCACTGTTGTGATGGGAGTGTTTCTTTTGTCTTAGTGGGTCCTTGATTAGGCCGTTGTGTATCCACTCTATGTAAAGAAGCAGCAAATTCCCCTCCCTTCCAACACTGATGATGTTACCTAGTTGGGTCATGGAATGTCTGCAAGAAAAACACCCAGCTCAGAGAGCATCCAGGACCCCATACTCCTCCTCCTCCTCCTCCCACCCTTCTTCTTTGCCTCCTCCTCCCACCCTTCTTCTCCTCTTCCCCTTCTTCTCCACTCCACAAACCCCACTCCCTACTAACTCTGATGATATTATCTAGTTGGGTCATGAAACGTCTGCAAGAAAACCACCCAGCTCAGAGAGCACCAAGGACCCCACAGTCCTCCTCCTCCTCCCACAAATCCCCTCCCTTCCAGCACTGATGATGTTACCTAGTTGGGTCATGAAATGTCTGCAAGAAAACCACCAAGCTCAGAGAGCACCAAGGACCCCACAGTCCTTTTCCTCCTCCTCCTCCTCCTCCTCCTCCTCCTCCTCCTCCTCCTCCTCCTCCTCCTCCTCCTCCTCCTCCTCTTCCTCCTCCTCCTCCTCCTCCATAGAAGCTCTGTCCTGCCCTCTGTAGAGATGTTTCAGCACGGGGCTTCTGAGCAGGGCAAAGGGCTGACAATGGCCACACAACTTCTTTGACTCTTCCTTCTTTGTGGCAGAGGTGCCAAGAGCTTTGAGGTGCAGCCCCCCACCCCACAATGCCTTTGGGGGGGGGAATGCCAGGGTGCCAGGAGGAGAGGCACAACAGTTTGGGACACTAAGCCCCCAAATTAAAAGGAACATTTGACTCTCAGGCACCCCAAAATAAAAAGAGAAACGGCACAAAAAAAAACGCTTCCGCTGCTCAGATTGTGGCAGAGGGAGCGCTCGGCTCACCGCCATTCGTTTAGTGACCGTTCACAGTTACAACGTCACTGAAAAAAGTCACTTAGGACCGTTTTTCACACTTTACGTCCGTTGCAGCGTCCCCTGCTCAAAATTCGGATGCTCAGCAACGGGTTCGTATTTACGACGGTCGCAGGGTCCTAGGTCACCTGATCCCCTTTGGCGACCTTCCGACAGGCAAAGTCCACGGGGGAAGCGGGATTCGCTTAATGACCGTGTGACTCACTTAACGACCGCTGAGATTCACTTAACAACGGCGGCGAGAAAGGACGTCCAGTGGGGCAAAACTCACCCCACCCGTCTCTCGCTTGATGTCGCGCTCAACGGGGCTCGTAAGTCGAGGCCTCCGCGCCAACTTCCAGGGGCCCCTGGGACCACCCCCCCCCCAAAGCAGCCCACCCCCCCTCAAAAGATCCAAGGCTCTGGCTTTCCTTACCAATGATGTTCACCAGCATGTCCCACTGGCCGCCATCGTTGGAGGGGTTGGTGAGCAGGAACTGGACCAGCCGTCCGTCGATGGGCTCGTGGGCAGTCTCGATGAAAGCGTGGAGGAAGTAGTAGCAGCGCTCGACCTGGGGGTCCGGGCGGAGAAGAGAGTCAGACCTCCCCCACCCTGCTCGGCTGCTGCACCCCAAAAGTCGGCATGCCTGGACTTGTTCCCCCCCAAAAGTCCTTCTGTCTGCACTGACCCAAGCATCGGGGTTGGACTAGATGACCTCTAAGGTCCCTTCTAACTTTATTATTACTATTGCTACGATTATTATTACTATTATTAATTGTATTATTATTATTACTACTACTATTATTTTCACTGTGCCCTTCCCTTGTTATGACAGGTGGTCAGCTAGATGTTGAGACTAGATGTTTTTATCCCACCCTACCCAGGGGCAGGCCGCCAGAACACCCCCCTGGAAGCAAACCCCCAACCCTTACAAGCACTGATGATGTTCCCTAGTTGGGTCATGAAAGGTCTACAAGAAAACAACTGACTGCAGAGAGCACCAAGGACCCCATAGATCAGTGATGGCGAACCTTTTAGAGACCGAGTGCCCAAACTGCAACCCAAAACCCACTTATGCATCGTCGGGTGCCAGGTGGGTGTGGCTCATTGGGTGGGCGTGGCCCATTGGGTGGGCGTGGCCCATTGGGTGGGCGTAGCTGTGGTGGTAACGGCAGATTGGGTGGGACTAAAAAGTTCAATCATCAATTCCAACTTTGCAAGATCTTTTTTTTTCCCACGAGAAGTTGAAATGGACTGATTGAACCTTTTTTTTTTTTTTTTTGCACATGACGGTGGAGGCCTAAAGCGAAAAGGTTTTATAAAACCCAGCTGAAGGCCTAGGACTGGGGCGACGGCGTGCGTGCCCACAGAGATGGCTCTGAGTGCCGCTCCTGGCACCTGTGCCGTAGGTTCGCCATCACTGGTATAGATTCTTCCTCCTCCTCTTCTCTGCACACCCCACTCCCTTCTGACACTGATGATGTTCCCAAGGGTCATAAGTGCGAGGACCGATGCTAAGCCATTTGTCCGAAATGGTCTAGGCCAGTGGTTCTCAACCTGTGGGTCGGGACCCCATTTGGGGTCGAACAACCATTTCACGGGGGTCGCCAAACAACGCAGTCCGCCATTTTTTTCCCCCTTTTCCTTAGCTGTGCTGCTCCCTTTTATTCTATTGGCTTTTGAAAGCCAGTAGAATAGACTCTCTTGAATAAAGTCTAATTCTATTGGCTTTCAAAAGCCAATAGGAATTGTCCAGGCTGTCTCTGCCCTGCTGAGCCCGCCAAAAGTCCCATTCTGCAAACGGTGCTGCACCAGTGGAGTAGTCCTCGACTTACGACCGGTTGAGTAGTCCTCGACTTACGACCGGTTGAGTCGTCCTCGACTTACGACCGGTTGGGGGTCGCGGCATTAAAAAGGTTGAGAACCACTGCTCTAGGGTTTCCTGCCTGAGCAGGGGGTTGGACTAGATGACCTCCAAGGTCCCTTCCAACTTTATCATTATTATTATTATTATTATTAAGTCCCTTGTCTCAGTGGTGTTCTAACTCTGGTCGCTAAAGGAGCGGTCGTAAGCCGAGGACTGCCTGTACGCAAGCGAGGGAAGTCGAGGTGGCCGTTCTGGGCAACCGTACCTTGTCCCAGAAGAAGAGGTAGGACTGGCTGAATTCGAATTCCTCAATGTTGAGCTTCTTCATGAAGGGCAGACGCATCACGTTCAGGCAGGAGAAGATCCAGCAGCGTCCTGAGGAGGAGGAGGAGCGGGGGGGGGGGAAGGAGGAAGGTTTAAACTCCGAGGGAAACAGAGGAAGAAGATCTTTTCCCGGAAAGGCAAAAAAGTGGACTTTCTCGGTCTCCTTTTTCCTCGGAAAACGTTTCGCTTCTCATTCCAAGAGGCTTCTTCGGTTCTTCAGAGAGAGAGAGGGGAGAGAGAGAAAGAGAGAAAGGAAGGAAAGGAAAGAAAGAGCATCAGGGAGCAAAGAGAAAGAGAGAGAGAAAGAAAGAAAGAAAGAAAGAAAGAAAGAAAGAAAGAAAGAAAGAAAGAAAGAAAGAAAGAAAGAAAGAAAGGGAGGGGGGAGAGAGAGAGGGAAGGAAGGAAGAAAGAAGGCAGACAGAGCAACAGAAAAAGAGAAAGAAAGACACAAAGAGAGAGAAAGAAAAAGATGGAAAGAAAAAAGAAAAAAGAAAGGGGACAGATGGATAGGGCAACAGAAAAAAGAGAGAGAGAAAGAAAGACACAAAGAGAGAGAAAGAAAAAGATGGAAAGAAAAAAGGAAGGAAGGAAGGAAGGAAGGAAGGAAGGAAGAAAGAAAGAAAGAAAGAAAGAAAGAAAGAAAGAAAGAAAGAAAGAAAGAAGGGACAGATGGACAGGGCAACAGAAAGAGAGAGAGAGAAAGAAAGACACAAAGAGAGAGAGAAAGAAAGAGATGGAAAGAAAGAGACAGGGCAACAGAAAGAGAGAGAGAGAGAGAGAAAGAAAGAAAGAAAGAGAAAGAAAGAAAGAAAGAAAGAAAGAAAGAAAGAAAGAAAGAAAGAAAGAAAGAAGGGACAGACGGACAGGGCAACAGAAAAAAGAGAGAAAGAAAGACACAAAGAGAGAGAAAGAAAGAGATGGAAGAGATGGAAGGAAAGAGACGGACAGGGCAACAGAAAAAGAAAGTGAGAAAGAAAGAAAGAAAGAAAGAAAGAAAGAAAGAAAGAAAGAAAGAAAGAAAGAAAGGAAGGAAGGAAGGAAGGAAGGAAGGAAGGAAGGAAGGGGACAGACGGACAGGGGAACGGAAAAAAGAAAGAGAGAAAGAAAGACACAATGAGAAAAAGAAAAAGATGGAAAGAAAGAAAGGAAGGAAGGAAGGAAGGAAGGAAGGAAGGAAGGAAGGAAGGGAGGGAGGGAGGATGAAGAATGGAAGAAGCTTCTTGGATGAGAAGCGAAAACATTTTCAGAGGGGAAAAAAAAAACATAAGGCAAGCCCAGGTGCCTTCTGGGAAAAGCCCAGAAATGGGGTTTAACTCACTTAACTGCCTCACTTAGCAACAGAAATTTTGGTCTGGGTTTTTTGTGGATGTAAGTTGAGGACCTTCCCTAAGGCTTTTAAAACCTGGCTGGCTTCCCAGAGCCTGGGGCGCTGTTTCTTAATAACTGTTAAATGGCTAATTATCTCAGCTGCCGCCTAGATTCACGCTGGATGTTTTTAATTGGTTTAAATGGATTTAATGTTTTAATAAGACTTAGAACTCTCAGCCTCCCTGAGTTGATGGATAAAGATGGCTGGCTATAAAAATGGAATATATATATATAAAAAAACACAAAATCTCCTTTCTCGGAACTGCGGCCTGGGCTGGGTGGGTTTACCCCTTCCCGTCCCCTCCAGGTAGAGCCAGATCTGAGCAGGTGTATAAAAAGCTGCCCAAGTGACATGGCACATGGTCCTCGACTTACAATAGCTCGCTTAGCGACCGTTCAAAGTTACAATGGCACTGAAAAAAAACCCCCGGATTGACGGTCTTTCACGCTTTACCCGTTTCAGCATCCCGACGGTCGGGTGATGAAAAGGCAGACGCTTGGCAACTGACTCGTACTTATGACCGTTGCTGTGTCCCAAGCATATGACAGGCCGTCCTCAAGTTACGACATGACTGTCCAAAGTTACAACGGCGCTGAAAAAAGGGACTGAGGACCGCTTTGCACACTTACGACCGTCATAAACACCCCCTTGGTCATGCCCTCAAAACTTAGATGCTCGGCAACTGACTCAGACTTAAGACGGTCGCAGTGTCCTGGGGTCACATGATTTCCCCCTTTGGCGGCCTTCTGGCAAGAAAAATCAATGGGGGGCGGGGCGAAGCCAGATTCGCTGAACGACCGAGTTACTCATTTAACAGCTGCACTGATTCACTTGAATGCTCCAACACTGGTATAGGGTTTCCTGCCTGAGTGGGGGGTTGGACTAGATGTCCTCCAAGTTCCCTTCTGACTTTATTTTTATTATTATTAACAACCTGCCTCCAGAAGTTGTGAATGCTCCAACACTGGAAGTTTTTAAGAAGAGACTGGACAGTCATTTGTCCGAAATGGTATAGGGTTTCCTGCCTGAGCAGGGGGGGAGGGGGGGTGTTGGACTAGATGACCTCCAAGGTCCCTTCTGACTTCATTATTATTAACAACCTGCCTCCAGAAGTTGTGAATGCTCCAACACTGGAAGTTTTTAAGAAGAGACTAGACAGCTGTTTGTCTGAAATGGTACTATAGGGTTTCCTGCCTGAGCAGGGGGTTGGACTAGAGGATCTCAAAGGTCCCTTCTGACATTATTATTATTATTATTATTATTAACAACCTGCCTCCAGAAGTGGTGAATGCTCCAACACTGGAAGTTTTTAAGAAGAGACTGGACAGCTGTTTGTCCGAAATGGTATTATAGGGTTTCCTGCCTGAGCAGGGGGTTGGACTAGATGACCTCCAAGGTCCCTTCCAACATCATTATTATTATCATTATTATTATTATTATTATTATTATTATTAATTTAACAACCGGGGCAAGAAAGGTGATCCCATGGGGCAAAACCTGCTTAGCAACTGTCTTGATTAGTGACGGAACGTTTTGGCTCAATGATGGTTGTAAATCAAGGACGAGCTGTAATGGGGGGAACCAATTTACCTGAATTCTTTTGGTTGGTGATCGGTTTCCCTTCGGCCGGTACGGCGTGCTGGAAGACCTGCAGGGTGTTTTGGACAACTTCCCGGTTAAGGCTTCCGTCCAGGAAGTCCGTTGAAGTAGCCACATTTTGGGCCAAGACATAGTGAGGCTCCCCTTTCAACGCTTTGAGGAAGGCGGAGGATTTCTTCAGGCTCAATCCTGGATCATGAAAAAGAAAAAAAAAAACATAGAATAATAATCAAGGAGAGAAGCAACCTGGAACTAAGGAGAAACTTCCTGACATTGAGGACAATTAACCGGTGGAACTCCTTGCCTCCAGAAGCAGTAAATGCTCCAACACTGGAAGTTTTTAAGAAGAGACTGGACAGCCATTTCTCTGAAATGGTGTAGGGTTTCCTGCTTGAGCAGGGGGTTGGACTAGATGACCTCCAAGATCCCTTCCAACTTTATTATTACCTTGCTCAATAGTAGCAACTGTGAGAGGGGTCTCAGAGTCCTAGTGGACAATCCCTTAAATAGGAGCCAGCCGTGTGCTGCAGCTGCCAAAAAGGCCAACACAGTGCTGGGCTGCATTAACAGAGGAACAGAATCAAGATCACATGAAGTGTTAATACCACTTTACAAGGCCTTGGTAAGGCCACACCTGGAATACAGCATCCAGTTTTGGTCACCACGATGTAAAAAAGATGTTGAGACTCTAGAAAGAGGGCAGAGAAGAGCAACAATAATGATTAGGGGACTGGAGGCTAAAACATATGAGGAAAGGCTGCTAGAATTGGGTATGTCTAGTTTAATGAAAAGAAGAACGAGGGGGGACATGATAGCAATATTCCAGTATTTCAGGGGCTGCCCCAAAGAAGAGGGAGTCAAGCTCTTCTCCAAAGCGCCTGAAGGCAGGAGAAGGAGCAAAGGATGGAAACTAATCAAGGAGAGAAGCAACCTGGAATTAAGGAGAAACTTCCTGACAGTGAAAACAATTAACCAGTGGAACAATCTGCCTCCAGAAGTGGAGATCCTATACCATTTCAGACAAATGGCTGTCCAGTCTCTTCTTAAAGACTTCCAATGTTGGAGCATTCACCGCTTCTGGAGGCAGGTTGTTCCACTGGTTAATTGTTCTCACTGTCAGGAAGTTTCTCCTTAGTTCCAGGTTGCTTCTCTCCTTCATTAGTCTCCATCCGTTGCTTCTTGTCCTGCCTTCAGGCGCTTTGGAGAAGAGCTTGACTGCCTCTTCTTTGGGGCAGCCCCTGAGATACTGGAATACTGCTATCATGTACCCCCTCGTCCTTCTCTTCCTAGACAGACCCAATTCCAGCAATCATTCCTTATATGTTTTAGCCTCCAGTCCCCTAATCATCTTTGTTGCTCTTCTCTGCACTCTTTCTAGTCTCAACATCTTTTTTACATCATGGTGACCAAAACTGGATGCAGTATTCCAAGTGTGGCCTTACCAAAGCACATCTTTTTTTTAACACTGTGACGACCAAAAATCTTAAATCTTAATAAAGATAGCTGCATGAGGGCAAAGCCACACTTTGGAAAATTACTCCTGTCTTGGGATTCCTTGCTTACAGACAGGAAATACCCCAGGCAAATTCTAGGAGGCATTGCAACAAAGACATTGCCAAAGTCGGTTGAGAAATTTAATTCTGTTGCAGGAGAAGGTTTAACGTACAGCAGTGGGGTTAAAAATGTGGCATTTGTGTGGCTCCACCTTCAAGCGGCCAATAATTTATTCTGCTTTTACGGTGGCTTCCGCTGCTCGTAGGATCATCTTACGTGTCACAATCCCTTTTGTGCAGCTCTTAAAAAGCGCCACACACACACCGTAAATAACCAGGACAAAGAGCCATTCCCAAATATTTATTAACCTGTCCAACTTACAGAGCCACTGTCCCTCTGAGCCACATGGCTGATTTGTAGAGTTAAAAACGAAACACTCCCAAAAAAAACCCCCAGCACTGATGACGTTACCTAGTTTGGCTCACGAAACGTCTGCAAGAAAACTGCTCTCAGTTCAGCCCTGAGCTACAAATAATTCTCCTTTATTGGAATCTAAAAAAAGGCATCGCAAACCATAAGAATATCCCCAGGAAAAAAACAAAGAAACGTGAGATATAATTTTTAAAAAACCGCTCATAAAACCCGAATACTCTGAAAAGGAATTGCCAAATTCAAGAGCGGCGGGTGGCATATTCTTAATTTTTTTTTCTCCCCGAATTTCTGAGATGGGAAGGATGGCTCCCAAGCGGGTAATAAAAATAAGAAATTATGGAATTTAATAAATGAACCTCTTTATTCTTTTCTGGATCCATTTCACACCCACAAAAACTCAAGAGAGGACGATGAAGCTGTCACAACCACCTATCTAGCCTCAATTCATGTATAACTGGAGTCCAAAATTTCCGTTGCTCGGTGAGGCGTTTCTTAAGTGAGTTTTGCCCGCTTTTACGACCTTTCTTGCCGCCATCGTTAAGCGAATCGCTGTGGGTGTTAAGTCAGTCACACGGTCGTTAAGCGAATCCAGCCTCCCCCCACTGACTTGGCTCATCGGAAGGTTGCAAAAGGGGGTCACATGACCCCCATGGGACACTGCAACTGTCGTAAGTACAAGTCAGTGGCCAAGCTTCTGAATTTTGATCACATGACCCCGGGAGATGCTGCAACGGTCGTTAAGTGGGAAAAAACGGTCCCGAGTCACTTTTTTCAAACTTTGGTCCCTAAATGAACGGTCGCAAGCCGAGGACTGCCTGTCATTTCCCTGCAATTGGCACCAAGGCGGCCCCAATTATGGGATGGCGTCAAATGCTGTCACCCACTCAAATTACCCCCATTTTGCTGCACCCCAAAATTGTGCCTGCTGCAAACATCCCATTGAGCCCCCAAATTTAAGGGGGTTTATTTGCTTTAAAATTGTGTTTTTCCAAGCTCGTTGCTTTAAGGGGGGGGGAGACTTCAACTCCCAGAATTCCCCAGCCAGCAGAGCTGGCTGGGGAATTCTGGGAATTGAAGTCCCCCCCCCCTTAAAGCAGCCAGCTTGGAGAAAAACTGATTTAAATTTGGATGAAAAGCCACATTTTGAGCCCTGCTTTTTTTGGGGGGGGCTGTTTTTTGAATTCTTAGCCCCCCCCCGCCTCACCCGCAGAGGGAGAAAGCACGCTGCACATGCTCAGAGGCACGCTGGTCCTTCGTCCCCGCGGGAGGAGCCCTCGCCCGCCCGGCTCCCGGGGCCGCGGCCGTCCCCATGGCAACCCCGGAGCCGCCGTCGCCCCCTCCCTCCGCCGCCGTCCCCATGGCAACGCACCTGGGACGCACATCACGGGCCCTCCGGGAAAAGCCGCCGCCAACACCGCTGCAGCCTCGGCACCAATCAGCCGGGCGCCGGAAGCGGCGCTTATATAGCCTCGGAAGCAGGAAGTTGCCCCCACGACGGGGGGCGGCGGCGGTCAATCCTGGCGCGCTCGGGCGGCTTCGCGCGGGAGGCCGGGAGAGGGCGGGGCCTGCGCTTGAAGGGACCGCGCGCTTATTTTCTTCCCCGGCGCGGGGGGGGGGAGGGAAAGGGAGGGGGGGGTTGTCAGCAAATGCAGGAGGGAGGGGGCTGGGGGTGGGGAAAGGGGCTCGGCTCCCCCCCCCGGGGCAGCCTGCCTTGGGGGACTCTGGACCGGGGTCTTCTCGAGATGGCCTACCTGGCGAGGGTGTTGTTGGTGGGGGGGGGGAAGCAGAGTGGGGAGAGCCTCAGAGAGAGGGAGAGCGGGTTTGGTTGGGAGGAAAATAGAAAGGGCCAGCCTGAAAAAGGGGCAGATCTGAAAAGGGTTCCTAAGGATAAAATCTTTCAGCTCTCTGTCTCTCTGTGTGTCCTTCTGTCTGTCTATCTATCATCTATCTATCTATCATCTCTCTCTCTCTCTATCTCATCTATCTTCTAAATATATCTATTAATCTATCCCTTATGTATTGTTTGTCATCTATCTCTCCATGTCTATCTATCATTTGTCTGTCTGTCTGTCTGCCTGCCTGCTTGCCTATTTATCTACCTACCTACCTCTCATTTACCTTCTAATATCTGTCAATCTATCCATTATCTATTTGTCTGTCTGTCTGTCTATCTATCTATCTATCTACCTACCTACCTACCTACCTACCTACCTACTTATCATCTTATCTTCTAATGTCAATCTATCCATTATTTATTTTTTGTCATCTATCTCTCCAGGTCTGTCTGTCTGTCTGTCTGTCTGTCTGTCTGTCTGTCTATCTACCTACCTACCTACCTACCTACATACCTACCTACCTACCTACCTACCTACCTAAATATCTATCTATCTATCTATCTATCTATCTATCTATCTATCTATCTATCTATCTATCTATCTATCTTTCTATCTACGTACCTACCTACCTACCTACCTACCTACCTACCTACCTACTTATCATCTTCTAATGTCAATTTATCCATTATCTATTTTTTATCATCTCTCTCTCCATGTCTATCTATCTTATCATTTGTCTGTCTGTCTGCCTGCTTGCCTATTTATCTACCTACCTACCTCTCATTTATTTTCTAATATCTGTCAATCTATCCATTATTTATTTTTTGTCATCTATCTCTCCAGGTCTGTCTGTCTGCCTATCTATCTATCTATCTATCTATCTATCTATCTATCTATCTATCTATCTATCTATCTATCTATCTATCTATGTAAGTCTTTGGTTATACCTACCTACCTACCTACCTACCTAAATATATCTATCTATCTATCTATCTATCTATCTATCTATCTATCTATCTATCTATCTAATCTATTTATCTATCTACCTACCTTTGTTGTTGTTGTTGTTGTTAATTGCGAAGTCGTGTCCGACCCATCGCGACCCCATGGACAATGTTCCTCCAGGTCTTCCTGTCCTCTACCATCTTCTGGAGTCCATTTAAGTTCACACCTACTGCTTCAGTGACTCCATCCAGCCATCTCATTCTCTGTCGTCCCCTTCTTCTATTGCCCTCAATCTTTCCCAGCATTAGGCCCTTCTCCAGTGAGTCCTTCCTTCTCATTAGGTGGCCAAAGTATTTGAGTTTCAACTTCAGGATCTGGCCTTCTAAAGAGCAGTCGGGGTTGATCTCTTCTAGGACTGACCGGTTTGAACGCCTTGCAGTCCAAGGGACTCGCAGGAGTCTTCTCCAGCACCATAGTTCAAAGGCCTCAATTCTTTGGCGCTCAGCCTTTCTTATGGTCCAACTTTCACAGCCATACATTGCAACTGGGAAAACCCTGGCCTGGACTATACGCACTTTTGTTGGCAGGGTGATGTCTCTGCTTTTTAGTATGCTGTCTAGATTTGCCATAGCTTTCCTCCCCAGGAGCAAGCGTCTTTTAATTTCTTGGCTGCAGTCGCCACCTGAGGTGATCTTGGAGCCCAGAAAAATAAAATCTGTCACTATCTCCATTTCTTCCCCATCTATTATCTACCTATCTACCTACCTACCTACCTACCTACCTACCTACCTACCTACCTACCTACCTACATCTATCTATCTATCTATCTATCTATCTATCTATCTATCTATCTATCTATCTATCTACTATCTATCTACCTACCTACCTACCTTCTAATGTCAATCTATCCATTATCTATTTTTTATCATCTGTCTCTCCATGTCTATCTATCTTATCATTTGTCTACCTGTCTGCCTGCTTGCCTATTTATCTACCTACCTACCTCTCATTTATTTTCTAATATCTGTCAATCTATCCATTATTTATGTTTTGTCATTATCCATATCTTCTGTCTGTCTATATCTATCTATCTATCTACATCCATCCATCCAATTTGTATCCCACCTTTATTATTTTCAAAAATCATGCAAGGTGTGAATATACCTAATCCTCCTCCCACCTCCTATTTTCCCGAGCACAAGAGCCCTGCGAGGTGGGCTTGGCTGGGAAAAGGAGACTGGCCCAAAGTCACCCGGCCGGGTTTCACGTGTAGGGCGGGACTAGAATTCCTCTCTTGATGATTGGCCCAAAGTCACATAGCTAACTTAACAACTTTTTGCTTGCAAAAGAAGTTGCAAGAGGGACAGTATTTAATATTTATTTGTTATGTATATGTAGGCGTGTGGGTCTGTACATATGTTGTATATATTAGTAGTACTGGTAATAGTAATAAATAATAATAATAATAATAATAATAATAATAATAATAATAATAACTACAAGCAGCGGCATGACAAAGAAGCAACAATGGTGCATTGGAAGATCTGCAAAAAATATCATTTGCCTGTAAGCAAAAACTGGTGGGATCATAAAATAGAGAAAGTCATAGAAAATGATAAAATTAAACTGCTCTGGGACTTCAGAATTCAAACAGACAAGCACCTGCAACATAACACCCCAGACTTAACAATTGTCGATAAGAAAGACAAAAAAGTCTGGATAGTGGATGTGGTAGTGCCTGGAGATAGCAGAATAGAAGAGAAAGAACTGGAGAAGATAACAAAATACAAAGACCTACAAATAGAAATAGAAAGACTGTGGCACAAGCAAGCAAGGGTAGTACCAATAGTCATAGGCTCCTTGGGCGCAATCCCAAAACAACTGGAGCACCACTTGAACACCATTGGCATTGACAAATTTGCTATTAGTCAATTGCAAAAGGCGGCCTTATTAGGAACTGCTTCCATCCTGCGACGATATCTGTACTACCATCAAACATCCACATCTGCCTATCCCAGGTCCTGGGTAAGGACTCGATAAGTAGACAAAATGCCAAATCCAGTCTGAACATCTGGCTGACTGTGCGATGATCCATAGTAATAATAATAATAATAATAATAATAATAATAATAATAATAATAATAATAATAATAATAATAATAATAAAGTTGTTTAGGTGCGTGTCATGTATGTGTTTCACTTTGAGAGCGGGCAACTAAATTTCATTTTTGATGTGTGCCATTGTGCCTACAGTAAAAAAATGACAATAAAAGTTATCTTATCTTATCTTAAGTTCCGGTCCCAATCGTGGTTATAAGTCAAGGACTGCCTACCTACATCAGTTTGAGAGCTCCAGAAAAGAAATAAAAAAATAAAATACAATTAAACCAAAAATGCATGCGCACAAAAAAGGCAGTTTTGAAAACACTGCTCGGAAATCAGTTGTTCATTCAGTTTGTTTAGTTCTTTGACTTTAAATTGTTTACTTAAATGGCTCCCCATGGTTTAATTCCCAAAGACCTGAAGGATTTGGGGGGGGAAAAGACATAAAAGCTACTCTAAAATTAGGTGGCGCTTGTCCATTTGCAGAAAAATGGTGGCATTTTGCGACGTAAACCTTGCGCTGAACAGCGGGTTGGTCTAAATGACTCTGAGGTCACCTTCTGAAACAGTTTTTTTTTCCCGCCTTAGCATAAATCCCCAGGAAAACTGGAACTGCCACAACGCCCCTGCAAAGCAATTAGTTTTTCCACCCGTTGCCTACGCTGCTTCTCGGGAATATTAAGCAACTTTATTACGCCCTTTATGGCTGTGCACTATTGTTCTTCTCCACCCAGCATGAAGTGCAAGGCTTGGGAACAAGGCAACCTTTTATCCTGTCTCCCTTTGTAAGGGCTCCTCTGCGTGGGCGCTGCCGCCTGGGGGTGGCAGCAATTTACAAATCTGTACTGAAGGAAGGCTGAGCACCAAAGAATGGAGGCCTTTGAACTCTGGTGCTGGAGAAGACTCCTGCGATCCCCTGGACTGCAAGACGTTCAAACCGGTCAGTCCTAGAAGAGATCAACCCTGACTGCTCTTTAGAAGGCCAGATCCTGAAGTTGAAACTCAAATACTTTGGCCACCTAATGAGAAGGAAGGACTTTGTTTGCCTCTAGGTGTTCGCTGATTCGTTGTTGGATTATCTTTTCCAGAATCTTCCCATGTATTGAGGTCAGGCTGATAGGTCTGTAATTTCCTGGGTCCTTCCCCCCCCCCCTTTTTTTTTGAAGATGGGAACTACATCAGCTCTTTTCCAGTCCTCTGGTAGTTCCCCGGTGCTCCAGGATCTTTGAAAAATATAGTTCAGTGGTTCCGAGATCACATCTGCCAGTTCCTTGAGAACCTTGGGGTGTAATCCATCTGGTCCTGGTGATTTGAAGTCGTCGAGGCTGGGCAGGTGCTCACTTACCATTTTCTTGCCTATCTTAACTTGTATTTCTATTTTGTTTTTTATGGCACTATTTTTGTTAGGTTGGCCTGAGGCTGGGCTGGAAGCAGATTCAGGAACCTGCTGAATGCCTAATATCGTGGTGAGACGCTGATGACCACGCTCCCAACTTTGCACCTCAAAGTATAGCTTCTTGTAGACCCGACCTTATGAGTGTCTTGAATTAATTGTCGGGCGTCTTCCTGACAAGGCTGGGACGGGAAAGAACTAAACATTAATC